CAAACTAAGCCTTCAGACCTAGGCTTGAACATTTTCTGCATCTGAGATGTTTCAGCGTTTCAGCTTAATTACATTCCTTGAGCTCGGGAACAATTAATATGGCCGTACTCGTTGCATGCCTCATGCGGGACATCGGGCAGGTTGCGGCAGCTGTTGATGTCCAGACCTTTGCCTCGATACCTGGGCGGTACTTGCGCCCACCTGGCTGTGAACCAGGGCCATACCGAGATGGTGGAACCTCGGCTTTAGGTTAATTTGGTTAGAAGTAGATGGGTTCCACTGGTTTAAGATTGAATGGGTGTCATGCCCTATTTACCAGGGAAACAAATCGAGTTTACCAAAAGGCACCTACTGTGGACGAGATCCTGCACCACTTTCCAAACTCCCTGCGCCATGAGGCACTATGGTGACCCATGAATTGTGTTGCTATGTTTGGTTGAGATGTGTGGTTATAATTTCTTGAGAATATGCTTGGTGAGAGTCTTGTTGAGTGCCTTATGCTGGCTGTTGGATTGCCTGGAGTGCTGGTGTTTGATATGGCTTCGGCAAGGGGAGAGCATCCGTGCGTTGCTTTCCTCCCAGACTCTCAAATTGTGCCAATCGAGAATCCTGAAAAGTCTTTGGCTGGAAACTTACAGGTGCTGGCATCAAACCAGTGCATCCTTCAGATGTAATGGCCCCGGATATTGGACACTGTGGATTGAGGGCAGGATGCAGGGGCACTGAGAGCCAGGACTTCCTACTTCGGGCACATGTGGATCCGCAATGCAGAGATCGAAACGGCGCTTCCCTGCTCTCCCGCGCGGCCGTGCTTGGCCATACTGAAATTGTGAAGATGCGCAGCTGCAAGCTATAAGCTGGCTTTGTCGTTGGGGCTTGCCCGTGACTTCTACGTAGTGGCTAGCATGCGATCTGGAAAATCTGAACTCGAAACAGCATGCATGAGCCATTGTGTTGATCATTGCTGCGAAGGATCTTGCTTGGTCAGTGGCGAGCGAATCCGCTGGACTCAGACGACAAGGGCCGGACCGCAATACACTTGGCCTGTTGCAGCGACCTGCGACCCTTTGGCAGCAGGGCCATGGGATCCTGAGTCATTGCCGTGGTGGATTAATGGCTCATAGCTGAGCAAAAAGCAAACATTGAATTACGAACTCCTTCAGAATCGGAGCTCCAACCTCTCTCGCGATGATGGGGTCAGAGAAGCAAAAAGGCACGATAAAAGATGCTGGCATCACTCGTCAATTTCGCAGGCTTGGCTTGCTCTAGGATGCGCGTTCAGACATGCTGAGAGTTCTAGCAATGCGCAGGTCCTTTTGTTTTTTGTTGGGCAAACGAAGAAGCAGGGACTGATTTTGCTCAAGAGCACATGGCTGTGGGTCAAAAATAGGTACCCAAAATAGAAGCATCTTAAAGGGAAACATGGACACACACCTGCGGTTCCCTGGTGGTTTAATTTTGACCCACAGCCACATGAAACTCTCAAACCTTGAGACAGCAACAGGGACGCGAACAAGGCAGTTGCAATTTAGATTGCCAGAAAATATGCTTCGCTCACAGCCCTACCCCGGGGGACGGGGCCCAAGGAACTGTGCAGCTCTTGGCGAACCACTCGCCAGCAGCAGTGCACGCCAGGGATGCTACGGGCAGGAGACAGGGCCGCCTGCCAACAGACCGTGTGGCATGGAGAAAGTCGCTGCGGTCAAGTGAGGGAAAGGCTTTTGAATGAGGCAAGTCACTGCCATATCACTGCCATGTTTGCTTCTTAGATCATGATATATCATGATAGATTTATGAGTGAAAGCAAAAAGCGATTGGCAATGGCACAATCCTGCTCCAACTGACACACCCACGGCCAGTGAAGAGGAGCTGCTTCTACTACGCCTTGGCTTGCCCACATTTGGAGGAGCACCTTGGCGGCGTTCAACAAGCGAAGAATTTAGATTGTTTGCATGCCAGTTTGCTGCGGCGACGGCTCAGGCACAATCGCATTCTACAATACCTTCTTTACTGCAGATGTGATCCAGACGCAGCGGATGACGAGGGCCACACCGCGCCTTGGCGTCCTTGGCGCTTTTCTGCAAGCATCGTCTTGCTTGAGAACTTGCCTTGAGGGTTGATTGCACAAGAAATGATCAATTGAGCTTTTGAAGTCGGTCACTTGGATACGAATGTATGCATTAGTGTCATACTCGGCTTCTCATGCATGAGTCCAAGGCCTTGTGGTTTGCTGCCGAGTCTGGCAATCACACTGCGGTGGGTCTTTTTCTGAATGCTGGGGCGGATCCACGCTTGGTGTCCGCGCTGTGCCACCACGACAGCACAGCACGGCAGCGATTGGGACCTTGCAGATGCTTTGTCACCTGGCCGGTTCACGATCGCCGTTGAGATAGTTGCTGGCAGTTCCTATTATTTTTGCAGTCGAAACAACCTCACGAGGACATCTCAGACATGGACCTCAACAAGTTTGTTTTTTTCATAACTTGGATTGAATCATGGGCCTTTTTAAAAATGTTTGCATCCCATGAATCCCATGGGGGCTAAATTCAGTCATGAGCATGGATGGCGGCGTGGCAAGCTAGCTGTCTTGTTCGCTCCTGAGGAATGCACCGCGAGGCAGGGAAAGCGTGATGTCCAGGGGCGAAAGTGAGTCTGATTAAACCCACGCAGCGAGTTGCATGCCTGTGTGCCTATACGTGCAGCAAGTAAGCATATTCATATGTTTAATTTTCTCCCTGGATGTGTGCGTTTCCTGGTCATGTTGCTGACGCAATAGAGACTTGATTGGCCCCGCAGGGGCGGCGGCGCGCACTCTGACGCGACAATGCGACCGGAGCCGGGCAAGGAAGAGGCCTCAGCACGTCACCGCACATGGACAGCTAAGCTCGGCATTTTGGTGGCGTTGGTTGTCCTCGTCAAGGGTCATAGACTGGGCTGGCCAGCGCAAAAGCACCGAAGCAGCGACAACAGGCAATGGACGGGCAGGCATCAGCAAGTTTGCACACCCAACAGCGAACATGCCGAGGTGGAGGCACCAGTGACACCACGTTGATGCCACTTGGTGCTTGTGTCAAGTCGTCCTTGCTTGTGAAGTCGTCCTGATCGGGTGTTCCCATGCAGTTGTGCTACCAAAGACATGTTCCAGCTCTTGTGGGCAGAGCATGTTAATTTGGACCATTGCGTTGGTCCCCTGATACTTGTACCCAATCTGGTTGTTTTTGTTTTGGGGACCGTGCATCATCATCGGGGTGAGGGGGTAGGGTTAAGTTGCGTCAGCTTGCGCACGTTGCGGCGCCTCGGCCACGCAGCATTTTCAACCACCATGGCAGATGTTGCTTATGCGTCAAGACCCTTACCTGTCGAATTCCTCCGTGCCTCTCACGTGCAAACCGGACAGAGTCGTTGCCGCTTTGCTGCTTGTGCTGCTTGTGCTGTGTTTTGCTTTCCTGAAGCGCGTGTCCCAATGAGATTTGCTCTTTTCGGGGTGACTTCGCGCGAATGTGGCGTCTCAATGCGGCGGGCCTGGGTGACTTTGCGCAAGCGAATGTGACTAACACGAGTGCCAAGTATTGCAGGGCTCCTTAAAAGATACATTTTGCGCATTTGAAACATGGCTTTTTCCACCAAAATAAAGGGAAACCACCATTTACAAGGCAATGTTCAGGTGTATACTGTAAGGGTCCCTGAATTGTTGCAGCCCTTCTTCAAATCAGACGAAACAAAACAAATATTCTGTGCAGCGTGCTTGACATGCTTATCAGATAGCAAGTTGGCTGCAGCAATGCCTGTTGTAACGTACATACAAAATAATATGTATACCTGACCCGTGCACACAGTAGCAGCATGTGAGAACATTGAAAGGTTTTGATGGTAGCAACTTCAAGCTGAGCTTAACAACTGAGTAGATCTGCTTTGTCCTTGAGTTGCATCGGCGGGTATTCATTTCCAACCATGGGCGTCACTGGCCAAAAGATGCTCTGGAATTATTTTGCATCATTTGCTGATCCGGCAAGTTTGCTCAACTACGATGCACATCCAAGCAATGCAGCTTGTTCTTGATTGGGCTGGCATTTGCACTGGACGCATGTCCGTGTGCCATGTCCGTGTGCCAGGCACATGGCAGCGGGGCCTTGTTCCGCATGCTGGACACCATGTCCACATCGAAGCTGGGTATGACCGTCACTCTCGGCAGTCCTCGCAACATGCCGGCAGCAGTTGTTCGCCTCTCGGATGCGTACGGGCATGCCGCGGCAAGTCCCACTAATAGTTGTAGTAGTTAAAGGCCATGTCATCGCCCAAGATAGAGTACCATCCGGGATTATGTTGAACGGCTTGCTGCAATCATATTCGACCCTGCCGATGTTCACTGATGCGTTCAATCAAAGCACATTTGCCCAAAGGATCGAAACAGATACGCAACGACCGATCCTCGACATGGTAAGGAGACATGCAGATGACATACTGAGAGCCTTGCCAGCGTGCCTGTCCATGACGGCAGTCGCTTCAAGCAGCCAGGCCACTACATTCATGCCTCTGAATCCCCACTTGGAGTGGATGGCATGTGTCATTCTCTTCAAATGTCGGCCACAGTGTGCCTGAAGCTCTCAGCCTTGCGGGGCACTTGCACAAGTGCCGCCTTTGAAATGACACACATGCCGCGCCAAATGGGATCAGGCACCTTGAAAGTTTGAAGCGGGCGCGCCAGACAATCTGGAAGCGCACATGCTTGAGCTGGTCGTTGAATTTGGATTTGGACCTGGCAGCTGAAAGCTCGCCGGAGCCGCGACTTGGAACGGTCCGTTTCCAGCAGCTGCAGGGAGCGCCCTGAAAGGACGCCCAGGCAGGAAACATGCTCACTGCCTGAGGCTTATGTGCCCGGCGCAAGGCTTGTTCAGGCCCCCATCACGTGCTTGCTTGTATTCTTTGGATGGCCTTGGTGACTCCATCATTTCAAAGACGCCAGCATAGGCATGTGAAACGTACAAAGCTGCGCGCGACAGGATGCAGAGGAGCTTCCAGGCTACGAGCAAGCAGCCAGAAGCCAAGCACTAATTCTGCAAGCCAAAGCGTATGTGTGTGTGTGTGTGCTTGTGTGTGCGTGTGCGTGCGTGGGTACGGTGCGGTGCGGTGCGGTGCGGTGCGGTGCGGTGCGTGGGTTGGGTTGGATTGGGTTGGGTTGGGTTGGGTTGGGTTGGGTTGGGTTGGGTTGGGTTGGGTTGGGTTGGGTTGGGTTGCTTCGTTGCTTGGTTGATTGGTTGCTTGGTTGGTTGGTTAATTATTTGTGGTTGTGTTTGTGTGTGTGTGTGTGTGTTTGAGCATTTGTTCGTGTGTGTGTGTGTGTGTGTGTTCTTTTGTGTTCTTGCGTCTTTGTTTGGGTTTTGTGTGGTTGTGGGTGCTTGTTCCTCTATTTGTGGGTGAATGTTGCTCGTGCAGAAAATCTGAAAGCGTATGTTGTGAAGGACTCGAGTGCAGAATGTGTGTCATTGCGCTGAGTTTGTTTTGGACAATCGGGTAGTAGGCCGCAGGCGAAAATTTGCATTTGCGGCATGCCAGGTGCTTCACATACGGAAGTCATACCTTCTCGGCCTTTAGTCTGTGCTCTTATCTCTGTGTGTGCGTTTCTGCTATCGGTGTGTGTGTGTGTGTGTGCGAGTGTTTGTGCTGTATTTGTTTATGTTTGTATGTCGCTGCGTGTTGTCTTTGAGTGTGTGTGTGTGTGGTGCATGCGTGCGTGCGCGCAGCCCGCGTGTGCGTAGTGGGCGGCCGTGGTGCCGCCAACTTGTAAGAGTCCAGAAGCCTCCCCTGGTCGTCAATCATTGGGTGGGTGCCGGGGCGGGTGTTTTTTGCACATTGCACCAAGGATCACCTGAAGGGTCAGGGCAAGGACAAGTTCGCGCGGGGCGAGGTGTCCGAGGCAGTGACCTGCCCGGGTGCTAAGCGCGCCACCTAAAAAATTGGACCATGGCGCGTAGCCCAAAATGGCTTTGCCACTTTGGGCGTTTCAATCAGTTGGACGGCGCCTACCAGATTTCCAGAGCATTGCCGTTTCAACATGAGTTTTTCCCGTGCATCAACGTTGTTTGTGGTCAGCATGTGGGTTTCAGACCTGCGGTAACCAACAAAGGGTTTGGGTTGCTTCAAAACTGCCACTACACTGTTTGAGAGTTTGATAAACCAGTCAGCCATCAAGCAAGCTCTTCAGATGCTCTAAAGTGGCAGTAAAAAAAAAATGCTACATATTTGCCATACCTCTCCTGACCTGAAAAAGGGAGGAAAACACTCCGCGAAGATTGCAGGACTTGCGAGTGTGCCGGACATGTTCATCAGCCAACTTGCCCATCCCTCTCTTTGTTATTGGCCCTTACAGGGCCCTTACCCTCCCATGGAACCTGACTAATAATGAAGCAAGGCAATCGTCCCTATGGGCTCCATGTCTCAGGTTGGCTGCAAGCTTTGGAGTCGCTGCCTCCGCGCGTGCCTCGGATCCGAAGCGGATTCCGCGAAGCTACAGATTTGGCATTCTACGAGGGCAGTTCCACCCCACCCCAGCTACCCCCGCAAATGTGATGAAGGCCCTTTGTCATTTGGGTGTGTAGTGGGTCGGTAAAAACGGTACACACCGGTTTTTCCCGTAGTGATCATTAGTGAGTATTTTCTTGGAGATGGTTTGGATATGTTTGACAAACACCTACCCGGGTAATGTGCTTGAGCGTAGTCTTTGTGGTGTCTTCGCACTTCAAGTTAGTGAGCCGCCCTATGAAGCTCGCGTCACATACCAATGGATTGCGGCAACGTGGCGAGTTTGTTCACCGACCAGATGTTCTACATATGGCGGAGGATACGAGGAAGTGCGACCAGTTGTTTCCGGCACTATGTGAGTGCGAATCAGCACATGAGCTACAAAAGTAGAACCATGCCACGGCTTTCAGATATAAGGTAAACAGGTCTAGTTGGCGGCGCTGACTATCCTTTATGTGGGGTTGTATGGCAACGTTCATGTATTGGAGTTTTCCCAGTGTCGGTCAGAAGCTTGCTCGACTTGAACGTGTTCTCAGTTGCAAGCCGACCTTTCAACCTTGTGGTTCCCTTGGTCAATTTTTCGGTCATGGCCCTCACAAGGTTAGCCGTTTTTTTGCGGCTCCGAGACAGGCCAGCTTCAGGACCTCGTGGCTTGCCTGGGATGCGGGGGCCCTCGAGTCGCAGCGGCATGCGCGAAATGCAGCAATTAAGAGACCACGCATATGGGTTTGTCTCAAAATAGGGAAACCACCCCGGCCAAAATGGCAACGAGTTTCCTTGCGGCTTCCTATCAAACCTGCCTAACCTCAACAAAAGGCCACACCCATATTTGCGCACTATGAACCACTATGGTATAGACTAGGCAAATATTTGAACAGACCTGTAAATTGACCTGTACCTCCACGGAATCGCAATTGTGTATGTGCGCGCGTGAGAGACATTGTAGTTTCATGTCATTCCACTTTGGCATGGAGCTTGCTTGTGTTCTTGCCTTTTTGCAAAGCCAGGCTAGGCTTGCTTCCTCAACCTGAAGAGCCGCAGGACCGCAGGGCTGGGCATCAACAAGCAGGCTTCGATCAGGATCAACAAAAACAGCATGTGTTGTCCCTAGTCCTGTCCGGGTTTTGGTCCTTTTGCCCTTTGGCCTCCTTGATGTCCATTGTCCCTCAAGATTCCAAAACCAAATGCGAAATGAAACATCAATCCGAACCCCTGGCCAACCCCTAGCGCAACCCCGAACTCACGTGGGCTTCGGGCCGCCCAAATTCAACTGCAAACAACCCCTAAACCAATCCTAGAACCCATCCTGATTGACGCTCAACCACCCATCAACAAGGCTAAACCTACCTTGAAGAACCCCTAAACCAGCCCACAATGAAACTTCACTTTCACCCCAGCCACTGACTCAAAACCCATAGGCCAGCCTGAAGCCATGCAATCCAGCTTGAAGAAATCTTCCTTCCAGCCGGAATGGGCCCTAAATCTCAATCTACCCTGAACCAGCTTTGAGCCCAACACTAAACCGACTCGAAGCCAACCCAGAAAAAAAATGGGGGAACAAATCCTAAAGCGACTCAAAACCCACCCGCAACAAAACCCAAAACCCTTACCCACCCCAACAAAACGTACCTTAGAGTTAAGCAGCAGTTTTACTCGTCTTATATTTGTCCACCATTGTTTCTACTGATTTTATGCGACCCCTGGACAAGTACTTTTGGATCCTGGATGTTGTGTGCTTTGATCCAGCACCTGGACCATAGCCTGGATGTTGTTTCTCTTATTCAGCAACCAGTGAGAGCCGGGCCGTGAATAGCATATATGGCCAATTGTGGGCGTTAGCCACTGATCTTCCAAGTTGAGTGCCTGGTTTTCGTTTGATTGGTCAATGGATGTGTTGGCACCGAATGAGTTCCGACCAAGCTGTGCGGTTACCCTAGCCAGGCTCCCAAGGAGGACCACCGCATCCTTGAGCTGCGCGTGGCATTGCTTCTGAATTTGGCCTGGGTCTCGGGCCACATTGCTTGGCACGCTTTGACAGTTGGTGAGCTTGAACGTTTGTTCAGGGTTGGCAGTCTCAGCCTTTGACTTGCTTGGCTTGGTTTAGTTGTTGCTAACATGCGAGTGATGATGGTAGGGAATTATATGTTGGTGGAAATTCAAGCTTGAGAAGTGGATTGCAGTTTATCAACAACCTTGGCGAACATTCAATAAGAGGTTCTTGCTCAACCGCTTGGCCGAGACGAGCAACCAACATTGGGCCAGCACAAATTGGGTAAGCTGATGTTGACGCAAGGCAAGACATTCCGCAAGGCAAAGCGCTTTGCCATAACACCCCCTGCAACTTGGACGCCTTTGGTCGCTGTTCGCATGGTTGCCAGGCTTTGGCCCACTCGAAGCTGAAAAAGCCTGGGACTCAGAGGTGAACAGCAAAACCGGGACTGCCTTTGCATGCGCTAAACAGAAAAACGGATGCGTGAAGCGGTGGGCGCTGTATGTCATGCACTGAAGGCGCATGCCGGCGCAGTGTGAGTAAGGTTTCGGCAGGCAGTGGGCTTTTGCGAGGAGGCGTTGCTTGATGAGCCTGAGAGCGTGAAGGCAGATCCGGCATTGACCATGTTGCCTCTCGTAGGGACAAACTAGGCTATTTGTGTACGTGTTCAGCGCCAGTCGTTGCTTTGCTCGCAAAAATATGTTACAAAGCCACGGAAGTGGTGAGAAACAACATGTTGTTCAGGACAAGCAACCTCGTTAGAGTTTTAAGGCTGCACTGGCAGCCCACTCTGGCTCTTTGGTTTCCTCAAAATGAAGTTGAACTGCACAATGTGAATTGAACATTGCACATGCATTTCCCTGACAAACAGCATCACGTTTGTCCTGTGCGTGACACGCTGTCAAAGCCTCGCAAAGATCCGTCACATGCGAGTCTCAAGCAGGCCCGTTTGAGGTTAAGCAACCCAGGAAATCACTTTCAGACCCTTGCTGTCCAAAGGGTGGCCTATCTGCACCAGATCAAGAGCATGAATTTGACTCTGCCAGGCCCTTTACCGCAAGGCGGATGCACTCGGCGAGCTTTGTGACTGGCAAGTCGCCGAAGAGGCCCAACAAGAATGACGTGGATCCCTGCAGACAAAGAGTTGCCTTGCGCGATGTTCCTGAAAAACTGGAAGTTCGGCTAGGGGGCCTGTTGAAATCCTTGTCTCGCAGATCACCCTCTCACGCATAGCTCCGTTCCCCCTTCACTTGCAACCGGAGCAGCAAGTGAAGCAGAGAAGCAGCTGGAGGCTCTTGAAATCGCTCTCGATCCAAAACTCACAGGCAGCTGCCAAGCTGGAAGCCACCGGTGCGGAGGGCTGGATGCTCAGAAGCCATCCTGGCCGTGACTGCAACGGCGTCCCTTTTGTGGTTGGCGGTTGGCTCGCAGCATTACTGCTGCGCATTTTTTTGTTTCTACATGGTCATGCCGGAGGTTATGCGACTCCTTCGTGCGGTTTTGCGACATGGTTGCAGAATCCGCAAGGTCCGGTTGCTTTCTCCCGACTGAGGTGCGAAACTCGCCGCGCAGAAGCGAGAGGACTTGCTCCAGCCTGTTGAAGCGCTTTGCCACACAGCTTGATGCGCTTGCTAAGGCAATGCCGAATCATGAGTAGGATAAACAGCGGAGAACTACGCAACAGGAGGAAGAACCTATCAATCCAAGGATTCTGGAATCAAAGAGTGCATAATGATATACAAAATCCACAATGAGTTTTTCCCTGGCCAGTTGAATCCAAGAAGCAGCTTGGTGATGGCTTTTCGCAGGAATGGAAGCGACGACAGCGGCAGGCAGCAGCTGTCTCAGAGGTCTCGATGGGGCCGTAAAATTGGTGTCTTCCTTCTTTGGTGTCAATCTAACCCTTCAAAAAGAATAAAAACAAACATAGAAATAGAAAAGAGAAAGAACAAAACGTCGCCGAGGACGGCAAGCAGAAGAAGATGTGGTCAGCTGCGCTGGAGAAGAAGGCCCAAGCCAAGGAGCCGCCTGCGCCGCGCCTGACGATCACATGGGTGTGGCTCAAAATCAAGCAGGAGGGGCAAACCGCAGGTTTTGGTCCCTATGTCCACTTACCAGGCTTCCATTGTGGGACCGGTTTTTTGAGCAGCCACATGGGTTATGTGGGACATTTTGGGCAAGCTATGTCGGCCTCGGAACAACAAATGCACGTTGGTTCGACTAAGAACCGCGGGGTGCACGGAGCTTGGCTAAGGTGAAGGTTGCGGATGCAAAGTCCAAGGCAGAGATCCTGGCCGGGCACTGAACGTGCGGCGGGTCCCTGCAGAAATTGTGGGTTTCTTTTAAAACAGGGCCGAAACAAGGGAGCCTGTCCCATGTCAGGCCCCTTTCAAAGTGCTTCTTGGTCTTTGTGGGGGCTGCAATAGTTCCTACTTGAAATAATGATCAAATTTGCTCATCCATGTCATTCTCCATTACGCAGTTCCCGAAGCTCTCTCTTAAGCTAGAGGCACCATGAAGTCAGGACTCACGAGGTTTGGAGCGCCTTGAGTGGGACTACGCTAAGGCTTGGTCCCCTCCCAAGCTTGAGATGATGAGCCCTTTCGATTTGCCGGCAGCTCAGGAAGGCGTGCAGATACTTCCACACGCCAGCACTTCTTCACATCCAGGGAGCATGATCACATCTTGAAGCTTCAAGCTCCAGGGAGCACTTGAAGTGGTAGTGGCTCAAAGCACCTGGCAACGGCACTAGGAGAAAGAAGACCATCGTTTGGGAAGAGGCGCCTTCACGTGCCACTCGCACTTTGCAAAGCTGGGTTCTCATATTGGTTTTCCCTGGCAATGCGCTTGTCTATCTCCTAGCTTTAGCATTCTCCTGACAGGAAGAGGACTTCAATGACAAAATCTGGAAGGTGGGCAACAAAGGGCTCAGCATGCTGCTGTTTGTGTGTCAGTCCGCCATAGTAATTGTCATGCGCCAGGAGTCCCTCGGTCGAAAAGAAGCGGCTTTCTTTCAGAAGCAAGCTTTGGCCCTGGCACTGGGCAGAGGTGAATGCATGATAATTTGACGAATGCCCTGCTGCATAAACACCCCCCTGGATACGCGGGACAGAGTGCGGGACAAAGTGCCGGACAAAGTGCGGGACAAACTGCTGGACAAACAACTGTCCGGCAAGTTGTCCGGGGGGTTGTCCGGAAGGTTGTCCGGAGGGTTGTCCGCGCACTTTACCGAGATTTATGCTGCAAACCCCCCCTCCCGCGAGAATACTTCCATCCGAGTGGTTTTGAGCGGGTTCCGAGTGGTTTCCGAGTGGTTTCCGAGCGGTTTCCGAGTGGTTTCCGAGTGGTTTTGGCGTGTTCCAAACCTGTCCGAAGACTTGTCCGGGGGGTTGTCCCGGGTTCTTGGGCCCTCAAAGCTGTCCGGAGGGTTGTTCGGGGGTTTGTCCGGGGGGTTGTCCCGGGCTTTTGGGCCCTCAAAGCTGTCCGGAGGGTTGTCCGGGGGTTTGTCCGGGGGTTTGTCCCGCGCTTTTGGGCCCTCAAAGCTGTCCGGAGGGTTGTCCGGGGGTTTGTCCGGGGAGTTGTCCCGCCGATTTTGTGCCCTCAAAGCTGTCCGGAGGGTTGTCCGGGGGTTTGTCCGGGGGGTTGTCCGGGTTTTAAGCCCGTTTGGACCCAAAATGTGAAAACAGGTGTTTATGCAGAACCGCCTCTGTCAAATGATAATGCATGAAATGGTTGTTTGAATTCAGCTGTCGTTTGGGCATAGGCAAATTTCATCGGATGCATATTGATGTGTGCAACATGTTGGCTTGACAGCCATCAATTGCCGGTGGACTTCACCGTTGCGGCTGTTTTGAGCGAACATGTTGTCAGTTCAGTAGTGCGACTCACTTCAGTTACCTCAGGAGCCGCGTGTTTTACAGTCCATCTCAGCGCCCTTTCGCACATGGGTGTGTGTGTGTGTGTTTTCGGGGACCCCCAAGTTTTGTGGTTTCCCCTTTTGGCTGCCCTTCAAAGCCACCCCCAGACGTCCTGAGAAACTGACAGACCCACGTGAGTCACGAGGCTTTGCCGCTGTCGCTGGTGGCAGCTGCTGCGCTGGCAGACTTGGAGCTGCGCTGCCCCCAGCACTTCAGGGCCATGGCCCCCCCAACTGTCGATGGGCGAGGGCCAAATAGGGGTCCTGCTTTTCAACCTATAGCAAGCATGGGCTGGAATTTGTGGGAGTTTAGAGAAAAACAACAGGAAACTAGCTGGAAGGTGGCAGCTTGCGGTATCTTGCGGTCAATTAGTTACTTGAGGGGCACAGCCAGTATTGGAGACTCTCCTGAGATACCAGCGTGCTCGCAACCCTCAACTTGAACGGAACACCAGCACCAGTGGCTCGCACTATGACGCTTCATGCACAAAGAGGTCTTCCGTTTCGCGACATCCGGTTTCCAGTTTGCAAGGGCATGAAGCCACAAAATGCATGATGCCGCTGGTTACCGCCCTCGAGGGGGGTCAAGGATCCGATTTGACCACAGGCTTTGCGGGAAGCCACCAAGAAGATCCAAGAAGGAGTTGTTATTTTCGGACCCTTGCTTTCCTCCCATGTGCCAAGAACAGCGCTCTCCGAGCTGGTGGTGCTTGGGCCTGAGCCGCCGGTGGGACTTCGGTTTGAAGACTGCAAGACACATTGGAATGGCTCGATGCGTGGCATTTCTCCGAAACATGCTGCACAGTGTTTGATGTTCTTCGAACAGCAGGGCCCCTTGTGAAATAATGATTGATCATGGTGTTTTGTGTGGGATTGTGTTGGTATAGCGGTTATTGCGGCTTGCGGCTTACGGCAACCCTACGCTTTGCCAGCCTATGTGCTCTTGGCGAGGCACTGCATTTTGGACGGCAACGTGGCACCGTTTGCCGAGCCGCATGCCGCGGCACCTAGAGAGGATGGAGCGACCGAAGGAGGAAGACACGCAGTTCGTTGATAGCACTGCAAAGGGCTGGAATCTGACAGGCCTTCGCAAGAAAAAATCAAAGAGCAGGTTTGCGGCTGTCCTTTCTAGCTTCGCAAGCCTTTTGCTGCCAACAGCAAGAGCATCTTCTTTTTGATGTGTTCTGCCGATTTTGCCCTTGTTTGTTTCGTCCCACCCCTTACTGGCATTGCACCTTCTCTCTCAAGTGACATTTGTAAGCTGTGTGCCGGAGTTGATTTGCAAAATTCATGTGATGCGGTTGCGCGTTTGCGCGTTGGGCTTCTTCCTTAGGACTGGAGCATACTCCTGAAAAGATGCACCTCGGCAAAGCAAGCGGCGTTTGCGTCGAACCGCCTCGCGGTTCCAGGCCCCGAGGTGCGGAACGTGCTGGTTGTGGCTGGCCTAAGCTGGGCTTGTGGCCCTGAGGGCCTGTGATGTGACGCCAACAACGTGCGCTTCCACATATTTAGGGCATTTATGACTTACATCTTGAGGTCTACATTGACATAGGAGCAGTGGGCGTGGATAAAGATGGCCAGCCACCACAGCCTGAGCCCTGATCCGCGCCGACGTCACAATGAAAGCGCCAAGTGATTGGACTTGCTTACCAGCGACCGAAGGTGTCAGCAAAGACTCTACATGACTCTACAAATGGAGCCTTCCCGTGCCAGCAGATGTGGGTGACAGATGAACAGAGGAATGCGCGACATTTGGCTGGCACCGAGGCCATATGGCACCCTTTTGCGCCCCACAGAGGAGGGGCGTGTTGGGGAGCGTGTGGCCCGCTCAGCACGATTCATGGGCCAGGAGCTTGGAAAGCTAGAGTCACTGTGGCATGTCAAGCTTGAACCTTTGCTGATCGGGTTGAACCGATCTTCCAGGCACTTACGATGAGTTTCTGGCTCACTGTCCTGCACTCACCTGCCTTTTCATGCTGCCTGCATTCGCTTGGACACAGGCAAGGACCTGCCTGGCCTGGTTCGACCAGGCCTGGCGCCCATCATGGAAGCAGACAACAAAGCGAACGCTCTCCACTCGGGCAAAGGCGTAGCGTTGTGGGCCGACGTCCCGCTGTACGGCTTCAATGACGATGACTTTGCAATTCGCCTTCAGGCACCCATGCTGCTTCGCCAGTGCCGAAGAAGTTCCTGATCAAAACAGTATACCGCACGGTGGATAAACAGGCATGGTGTGCATGTGTCCTTTTTGCGAAGCACATGATGTGCCTCAGACGGCAAAGCCTGTGTAGTGAGTGCTTGTTCAACTTAGATGTATTGACCTTGTCTATACTCATCAGTGAGACTGAGAAGCAGCAGTTTGAACATAATTGCGTTGCTAGCACTGGCCTTTTCAAAAGGCCGCAGACAAAATTGATGAGTGAGGCAATTGTGCAGCAGACGTAAATGATGTTGCAGTAAGATCCCCAACATGGCGATTGATCCCAGCATGTGTACGCCTTCGTGCAGGCAATTTCAAGGCTGTCTGCCGCAGGGATAACATCTGCCCCAGCCTTTGCGTGTCAAGTTGGCCAAGTTGATGAGCGCCATTCATGGGTTGATGTGCCAGTGGTCCCCCTGGCTGCTGGTGCCACCAGGCATCACCTCGACATGCATGCATGACTTCATCGGTCAACGTGGTGGCGAACATGTTGGAAGCCGCATGCTTTCGGCATGTCACAGAAAGTGTTGATGGTTTGTTGGCAGTGGCAGCTTAGCGCACTTGACCTAACAAACCAACACTGGTGCATGTGGGCGATACGCATTTGACAGAACCCTTGTTTAAGATAGTTTCCACCACCACCAAGCCCAACAGAATGATACACCCTCCATAATATGGTGGTTGTGTCTGTTCTTATCCTGTGGGGGATTTGGTTTGGTCGAAGCCTTCGACCTTGTACTCTGATGTTTGCGGACTTGCCCTCGGCGGATCATCCGATCTCAGGTCATAACCATGGGCGGCGAGGTGCAAGAGCCTGGCGGCTTCCCCCTAGACCTGCGCTGAGATCCAGTGCTTTAAGCTTCAAAGTTCAAAGTTTGTTCAGCTTGCGGGCCATGTCCAAATCCTCCAGCCAAATCCGGTTGCCGCTCTCTGCTGATGGTCTGACAGATGCTTCTGACTTGAGGCCTACAAGCTGGATGAGCAGGCCTGGATACTGCCCACTGTAGACGGAGATGGGACCTGAAACAGAGCAGGGAACATGTCGAGCGATGGAACGAGCGCAATGCGTGCTTCAAAAAACGCGCGTCATAGCGTGCAGAAGTGGGGCATGCAGCGTTGCTGTGAAGGCCAAGCAGTCGATTGCTGTCCTGTCAATCGCGACGGGGATGAAGAAGTTGGCCAGGCACTTATCACATGTGTGCTGGTGGGCGTTCCGAGCTTCAGAGATGCGCAACAGTCGACCACTCAACGTGCGTCATCTTGCCTTTTGGGTGCTGCCACGGCGCATGGAGTCCCTTATCCTGGGAGATGTCACCCACCCAGCCCCAGATGGAGCGACCTGACGTGGAACCAAGGCCACATGGCAATGGAATCGATTTGTGGTGCTTTTGCCTCGGATGACAGAACATGTTCTGTTTTGGAGCAAGCAGCGGAACAATGTGGAATATCAAGATGACCTCAAGCGGAGGGAACCACGTCATGATGTTTGATTCGCCCGCAAGTAGCATACGCGCGCAGCGCATGCGCGAGATGCTGGACTTTGTCCATACCACAGGCCCTTGGATCGAGGTCCCCAAGGAATCCTTGCTGCAGGGCTCCCAGAATATGTCTGAATGTCACAAGCAATTTGCATTGCGATGCTTGGCTTTTCTTTGAAGCTATCCATTGCAGCAGGAAGCTGCCATGAGTGGGTCAGCCTTTCAATCTCCGAGGGCCACGCCGTCTTGGGCGTCCTCGGGTGCTTGCCTCACGGTTCTTGCAGCGCCCGAGTCGCACAAGTCGCAGAGGCCGGGAATGAAGAGCTTGCCGAATCTGCAGACGGTCAAGGATGCGCTGAAGAAGCGCGGCTGCTCAGTCATAAGTCGACAGTTTTGACATGGTTTGCCGGCTTGCACCGAAGGTGACCTCTTATCCCGGGCTTTTTGGATTGAGGCTCATGAGTACGGTTCTGGAGTCCGGGCGCATTTAGCAGTTGTTTCACTCGGAGGTTGCTGGGCGGCCCACATGTGTCCCGTGGGGTCGTACTAGATATTATATTAATTTTTTTGGGGGGACCTCTAAAATGGCTGGTGTTCCTCTTGGTTCCCTCTAAAACCCAACCAAAGGAGGGCTCCGCAAAAAACGACACACCCATTTTCTAGAAGGGATGGCAAGACATGGTCCCAATCTGAAATCCATTCCGAAAAGTTGAGCAATGCCTGAGGCGTGGAGTTGCCCTCACGTGCCTCTGCCTGGTTGTGGCTTCCCGTCACATCCGTCACCTTTTGATTCGAGCCAGCCCAAAGCCGAGTCAAATACCCACGCTTTCCAAACCAAATGCCACCTCACAAGGGCATGGTTTTAGTCCATGTTTCCATGTACCAGGATTCCATTTTGGGTACCTATTTTTGACCCACAGCCACAAACCGATTCTTGCCCCATGCCAGCCGGCCAGGCCTTTCAAACTTCCACTTCCCCCTGGCAAGAGTCAGAGCCAGGAGGAGGAGAAGTTTGCAAGAGACTCAGATGCCTGTGGCTCAAATAAATGCAAAATGGAACCAAAGACTAAAACCCGCGTAACCCTAGCTCTTTACTTTTGAGCCACACCCAGATATTGAGAAGTGGAATCGATTCATAATGCAAAACCAGGGTTTTGAAAGCCGTCCGCCTATTTTGCAAGTCGTGTTTCCAGCTCGATCCTAAGAATCCTGGACCTCCAAGCACTGAACACAAAGAGCTTACAACACTTCCTGACGATGGTACTTTGAAGAGGGTAGATGATTCCATGATTACCCATGCATGGGCGGTAGTCGTGAGTGTGAATTTGGACCAAACCTTAAGGTCTTTTGGCCCCCGCTGAGAGATGTTCGTTTGCACAGTAGTAGCCATGTGCAAGGAAGTAAATATTGGGTGAGCAAATCCCAAGGACGCATGTTTCTATGTACAGCTTGTCAACCATCGGATAACATGATGTGCCATTGGAAATCATGGTTCGTGCTTTGATTTCGAATGGTGACGCTGCCACGCAGCACGAGACTTAGAGCCCAAAGCCTGGGAAGTGTGTTTGCTTGGCGTATTGCAATGCTGTTGTTCAAGGCCATTGATTCGATGGTCTCGATGTGGTGTGCCGCTAGCGATTTCCCACTGATGGCTCCAAGCCATCATGAAAATAACCCCCCCCCCCCCGGTAAATTGGGGGGGGGGCAAGCACTTGGGGTACACTCTCGTCCTTGATTCAAAGAGAGAGCGATTCCAAGTGATACCATGAAGGGGATGCACCATAGTAGGCCCAGCCTGAGGCCGAGATGCGAGACAAGCAGTGGCAGGCTTCACTCGCCGTGAAAGCCATTGCACGCCCATGTGACGTGCGCAGGCGTTTTGCAAGCATCTTCAATCGCAGGGCAGGCCGGATTTTGCATGCAAGTCATCCTGTCAGGAAGCATGTTGGGGGCAAAGTCCTTCATTGCCCTTACAAGAGCTTGAATTCGGGCATGTCTACCTATTCAGCCCCCACACGTTCACGCAGCCCAATTTGGAAGCTTTGTGGGTCAACTGCCCAATCATGGAAAGTACGCTCTCAGAAATTGAGATGCGGCATGCTTGGGGGCTCTCATGTGTAGTTGCCATGGCTATTGAGGTGTGGTGCCAAAAAGTCTGAGCAAGTTAAAGTCAAGGCCAAAAACCTTGCAGCTTCCTTTCCTGACGTGTATTTGGTAGCGCCACATGGGACCAAGGAACACCGAGTTTGGGGTGATACTGCGTCACTTCTTTTCAGCCGGCGGCAAGGCAGGTTGCTACCGCCCAGTCCAGCGAAGAGGAGAAGAGAAGACAGTTTCAAGCTCAGCCAAAGGCACATGAGTGATTTGCAAGATGCATCACCCTATGTACTAAGGACCATGGAATGGTACCAATATATTGGAGGGAGCATGCCCGCACATTAAGAGCCAAATAACGATTGAATATCATCAAACCCTTGACAAGAGGATTGTCAATTGCCAGAGACTAGATTCGATTCCGAGTTGTTTTTCAAATATCAACAGGAATTGGCTGACTCCGACAGAGATTGATGATCCCACAAGTTGCCCTCGAAATGTTTGGGCGTGGCAGGAAATACGTTTCCCACGCATTTGAAATCAGTTGACATGTTCTCTTGAATTTAAATTGGGCAGCATTCTAAAAACCCTGCAACTAGAAGTAGTACTTTTAAAGGAATATGGTTTTCAAAATGCGAATCATTCCTGGGACGCGAAACGCTTGGTGAAGGGCCCCAGTCACGAAAGGTTCATGCAAGCGGCAGCGAAAGCATGAAGCGGCAGACACGCTTCCAAATCCACAAAAACGCGGCATATTTTTCCGTAAGCTCAACGAAAGCTTTGTGCAAGCAGCGCGCCTTGAGGAAAACCTGGGTCCGCAAAAGCTTGGCGAAAAGGATACGAGCAAATATGCTCACGTGCTGCAAAAGGCCTCTTTTGATCCTCGCTACAGGCTTTGTTTTGCAGCTGCCGGCCGTGGCAGCGTTTTGAGTGAGTGATTGCCAAGAGCAAAGGTTGTCATGCTAGACAAGGCCTGCGAAAGAAAGACACGAAAGGTTCCGGGACAACTTACAAATCGTCGCTTAAATGGCAACTCAGATAGATGTCTTTGCTTGTCGTGTTGCGGAGCCGCTATATACATCATGCATTCGGAGGATTGAAAAAATGTCAGCTTTGATGTTTTTACTTATTCCTAGCCCTGGCCCGAGCACCTCCCGGCGGTAGGGCCGGTTGACAGCAGAGTCTCGGGAGATGAGAGCCATGGACCCGACTCTGGGTGTGCTCACCCCTCCGTTGAGGGTGAGCCTGGTTGCCCAGGTGATCAAGCAGGAGCCCGACCTCGGGGGCACGTTGATGGAGAGCATCAACCCGCAGCAGCACTTCGTGGTGATCCCCTCCATCGAGGGGACTGGGCTGGTCACGCTCTACAATGCGGAGCTCACCGCGGTAGTACCCCAACCACGGCTTCTACTTGACGAACGATCGGGACGGGCCGGCCACTTCAAGCCCACCTTCGCGGACTTCTTCCAGCTCAAAGAACTTTGCGCCGGCATTGGTGGCTTCTCCCAAGGTGCCAACTTTGTCGGGATCAAGATGGTGGCCTGCCTCGACCACAGCGCCCTAGCCTGTGCTGCTCTTCGTCTACAAGGACACTACCCTCTCCATGAGCACTGGCTACTTTGACCCACGCTCCAAAGACGGCAAGTCCATAGACCCAAATCACACAGTCATTTGGCTGCCAGGCGCCAGCTGTCAGGAAGCCAGACACAAATCCCGAACCAGCGACCATGCCATAGCGGTCACTCGCCTTGGTGGCAAGTACGGGATCCGGGTCTGCAAGCAGGACGGGAAAGCCGCATGGGCCTACCTCCGTCCCGGGCACGACGATATCCAGGTGAAGATCACGCGCGTGTTCCGCCTTTTTCCTCTCCCTCATGGAGCACAACGCACTGGAGTCGCCCAACTTCTCAAGCAGTGGCAATGGCAGGCTCGACCACTCCAAGCCTGGGAAGTCGGCGCTTCAGCCAAACCTCCAGCGTGGGTTCTTCCGGGCATCGGCAACGAAGTCATCGTTACAAAGGTCAAGGATGTCGGCCCCAAAGCCCCAGCTGGTAGCGCAATCCGTGCCACCGGTCGCGCCAAGAAGCACACCCAACAAGGATCCTCATCCACTAGCCAGGACGACGGCAGCGACCCATGGGCCAAATGGTTCCACACCTCTGGGGACGTTGACATGACCTCGTCAGCTCCGTTGACATTGACATGACCTCGTCAGCTCCAGCTTTGCCAGCCACCAGCACCAAAAAGATTGACCAGCTCGGCACCACCCTGAAAACGGACACGCACGAGGCCGTCCGCTCTGAGGTTGCCAAGAGCTGACGTCGCCAAGATCACTCATCTTGAATCCAGTGTCCACGAGCTGCGTGAACAGGGCAAGCGCTTCGAAAACTGGTTTCATGAAGTTAGCCAACGAAGCCAGCAACAAGATGACGACCTCAAGGCCCTCAAGCATGTTGTCACCCAACACCAAGGCGAACCAGCCGAAGTCAAGCACCAGATCAAGTCCCAGGGTGACTCCCTGCTGGCAGCTGTCGGCACAATCAAGAACGACCTGTCCAACCAGATCGATTCCCAATTCCAACGCTTCGAGGCCCTCCTGGCCAAGAAGGCGCGGATGGAGTGACTACTAGGTCACGCCGGATCCTGGCCCCGACCCGCCAGGAGGCCGAGCAAACCAAAGGGTCCGTCCATTTTCTCCCTTTCGTCCAGCTCTTCTTTTGCGCAGCAAACTCAGAGCCTACGCAGTGCCAACCTGGTACCCAGCTCTACTCCGTCAGCGCAAAGGAGCTTTGCACAAGCTTTTATTGCGATTGGGGGTGCCCGCAACCCCGCCCATTGAGGATGTGGGCACCACGAACCCCTCTGGGCTGAACGGCAAAAAAATCAGATCAACCAAGACCCGGGCATCTGGCTCTTGGCGGAGACACAGCTCTCCTACATCTCAGGACCAACCTCTCGGAAAAGACTCGCTGCACTTGGCAGCAAGTTCGATGTATAGAAGGCGCCCCGGCCCCGCTCAGAGCCAACTCTCTCTGGGCTGGTTCATGGTCTGGGGTCATGACGATCTCCGACTTTCCGGCCCAAGCCATCACCCTGCCCTGTCGCTACAGGCCGACACATGATAGATGACCTGCCAGTCATCTCCACCGTGGTGTACGGCTTCGCACAGGGCCCTACCTACCACCGTCACCAAGGAAGTGGTCCTCGGCATGCAGGGAGTGCGGATCATCGCCGGAGACTTCCACAAATCGCCGCAACATGGCTGGCAAGAGGCTCAACAGCTGGCCCACACCCAGGGGCAACAGACGCCACAACCCACATGCAAGGGGGCTACCACCCCTGACCTGCTCTTCTTTTTTTCATAAGCGCTGGCACAAAGAGTGAGAGTCACTGACGTCTACATGGAACACTCGTCCGTCATGGTGGACCTCTGGACCAAACCCCAACAACGTCTCCTTCATGCAGCTACAGCGGAGGTTGCCAAACTTGAGCAGCCAGCTACCGAGTGGTACCGCGACTTTGCAGCCACCTACAAAAACTCTCTGAATGGCTTTGTCGACTCCTTTGCTCACACCGAACTCCCTCGACGGTGCAAAGGACGTGCCAAATGGACCGTACCAGACCAGCCATTCACACCAGTCTTGCTGGTACTGCAGTACGCAATGGTGCAAACAATTCCGGCGCCTTCAAGGCTATACGCATGCTACAGCGACTCACCCCCGATCTATGAACTCGGACTTGTATATCGCTCAGCTCTGGGGGCCCATCACAAGAAGTTCGGGCTTTCGCGGCGGCTTCCACACTTGGTGGAGCACTCGGCCTATTCAAAAAAAAAACAACGGCACCCCGGTTCGCCTTCCTCACGTACCGCCAGCTCATCAGCGCGCTGTCCTCATCTTCCAAGACTTCAGGACCAACTACCGAAAATTCGAAGCCTGGCACGCCAACAAGCGGAAGCAGGCCATTAACCTCAAGATTGATGAGTCCAACGGTGCCCTCTACAACTTCATCAAAGAGGACAAGGCGCCTCCCATCGACACGCTCGCCATCGCTGGGGGCTATACCATTTTGGCTGTGGACCCCAACAACAATTTTGTTCACTTAGACAAGGCTATCTACGCCAGAGGCAGCTCTACCTGGTCTCTTCATGCAGAACCAGCCCATGTACAGTTGGAGACTGCCGATGTTGCACAAGTTGAAAGCGACCAGCTCCTCTGCCCAGGAGACACCCTAGAACAGAATGCATCCGTCACCCACATCGACGATATCCACCAGGAGCTCCTCGAGCTCTGGTCATCTCGTTGGAATACCACTGCGCGGCTATCCGAGGACGAGTTCCAACGCATCACCAACTTCATCCACGCCTTCATCCCACGTGGACACTTCCCGTGCGAGCCCATCCACGATTGGGACGTTGCGCTCAAGAAGTACCGACCACACACTGCTAAAGGTCCTGATGCCTTTGCGCTCCACGATCTTCGCAACATGCACCCCTCCCACAAGGAGAGCCTCATCGGATGCCTCAACAAGCTCGAAGCTGGGCAATCCACCTGGCCAACACAAGTCCTTCAAGGCACCATCACGCCAGTTGCGAAGTCTGCCAACTCGAAAAAGCCCGACAGCTACAGGCCAATCCTCGTTTACAGGACGTGGGCAGCCGTCAGAGCCAAAACCATACTGAAGTCCATCAGCTACCTCCTCAGCGACACCGCCTATGGGTTTATGCCCGAGAAGGGCCCTGCAGTACCCAGGCCGTCGTTGAGATTAGCGCACAACCAGACCACGCCTCCGGGGGAGTCTGCGGCTTTGCGGCCGACCTCAAGAGATGTTTCAACAACCTGCGCAGAGAGCCCATTGGGGAGCAGCACATCAAACAGCTCCTTGCGGGTGTTGCAGGACTCCGACTCAAATGTGCAGGGGGCAACCCCATCCTGCGCCTCACGCTCAAGTTCCAATGTCTGGCCGGCCCAGGCTACTACCAGATTGCAACGACAGTCAGAGACTTCAAACGTCTCTGTAGCAAGCAGCCTGCACATGTCAATGAATGGGCACATTTTATGCGCCAATACGATGGGCGCCTTTTACCTGTCCCTTTTGCAAGCTGATTGAGGTCTGCAACTCCCTGGGATGGTCAATCATCAGTGTGCCGCTCATCCAGGACCATGATGGAGTCAACTTCAACATGCTCACGTGTGCCCCCAATGAGTTGGAACTCCGCCTCAATGACGCTTGGAGCACATTGCGAGCCAAGTCCAACACCGTAAGTTCATGGGGGGCTTACGAGGCTTAGACCTCGCATGTACTACCAGACGGCGTTCCAAGTATAACCCCTTGCAGGCACGACTGGTTGCAGCA